ATATATATATATATATATGTATATATATATATACTAGCTAAGGAAAGGAACTGAACACAGACAGCTGATTTTTACGACAGATAAAGTTTTTGTCTACTTCGACCTATGTAACAAGTTTCCGGTACACGTTCGTGTAAAAAGGAAACGCACTTCTAATCATGTACAGCAAAGAAACATTTCGCTAACACGCAAAAGATAATAGTATGGTAGACTATAATATCAATTTGTTTTAAACACTATGAAATAAAAATTCTCTATACAATTAATAAAATTTAAATTAATTCTAATGCAAAATGATTAAAAAATGTTAATTTTTTATATATTTACTATTAAAGAGATAATTACAATATTTCAATTATATTGTTTTTATATGTCATGTTTTATAATTGTGATATAAGTTATATTTATATTACAACTATAATATACTAAAAATTTCTTTTATATCATTCTTCTTTTTATATCGAAACATATTCTTTGCGTACAAAACTAATTTTATTCTTATTTGTAAATGGTACACTTGTTCTGATACATTATGATCTATTCTGATATATTTATATAGCAAGCGTAATAATTCATTCTTCATTATTTTCTTAATTTTGCCTCAAAGACGCAAATAGGTATAATAACAATCGGGATATAATTGCTGTTGAGAAACTGTTCATTATAATTTAAATTAGTACTTGCCGACTTATATAATTTCAAACTTTGATTACCATAAAATTCATCTTAAATTTATCTTAAATTTACTATATATTTTAAGTGTATTATGTCATTAAAATTTATCTATAAAAATATCTTTAAAAGTTTGTCTTCGTATGGAATGAATATATTATCATTTATCATACAAATTTTCGTTAATATTTAATATCGTTAACAAAACAAAAAACGCTAAACAATATAAATACAAGAATAAATAACATTTTTTTTTAACCGAAAGCAATCATTTATTTCTGAAGAATAAAAGTTACGTTACATAAAATATAAGATAATATTTCAAAATCTGTTTAATAAAATATCACTTAATATATTAATATATTACTATAAAATCTAATTTAAGTCTGAGGCATTTTGTTAATTTAAATATTATATTTCTAAATAATAATGTAATAAAAGAAGCGTACCATTTTAATGTATCTGCGATATTTTATTAATAATTAGAAAACCATCAAACCTGCTAGACTTCGGTGTAACGATGTCCCTTGTTTCGGATGTATATTTCCTTTCGGCTCGGCCACCATTAAAAAGCTCAACGGTTTCCCTGGTAACAGTTTCCAGAAGAGGTTCGCCACCCCGTCTTCCTTTGCTAAATGTCCTTTGATCCGTTTTACGGACCATGACCACCCTCGACAAGGGTTGATTAAATTCATGTCCGTGCATGGTCGGAGGAATCATAGCCAGCGATTGCGAAAGAGGACCTCCGATTCGTGGAGATCTATATAACATAAATAATTATAATAATTAATAGTACATACACATGCAACATGTTTAAAAATATAATCATTCATTGCTATACTAAATATTAATAGTATAATTATAATTCTTATTAATCCAAATCCCTTCTTGTATTAAGAAGTATCTACTTTGAAAAATATGACATGTTTATAATTAAGTTTCAACTATGTATCTATTACGTATCAATTTTTCGTTATAACTGCTATATATAATTAATTTCTTTTGCATGTTACCAGTATCAAATAATATAAATAATAAATAAATGTGAAAGTATATATATCTTTTAAGTATGGACAACATATTATAATACGAACAAACATATTCATATTATATAACATATCCTTTATCATATATATATATATATATATATATATAAAACATATAACTATAATGGTATATTCAAGTATTTAATTAAATTAAAATATATGCGCATGTATAATCTATAAATATATAAATATTCATATATAAATACATATCTATATATAAATATATATCCATATATAAATATTTCTATTTTACTATCAAAATTTATTATTTTTTTCCTTCATCTATATCACTTTATTCAAATATTATATTTTGCTTGTTTCAACATATAATTGCATCAAAGTATCAAAGTACATGCATCAATAGCTGCAAAACAGTGTATATTAAATGATTCACTAAACAAAAAACTGATAAATTGTCACTATCCCGTTTCATTTTCATGATCAACGATCGCAACACATGTTACGAACCGGTTCTCAGCAATACACGCAATTAACGCCAGTTGCTGGTGACTTTAATTATTAATCACCTTCTCTTTGAACGCTTCTGGACTTTCTTACGCATGTAAATCAGTATCTTGTTT